CTTCATTATTATCAGCTTTGTGACCAATCAGGAAGCCAGGCAGCGCGTCATTACACGCTGCCTGGCTTCCTGATACAGGAAGTATCGGGCTAGGCATTGGAGCATTTGGGCGAGTACAAGTACTTGCCCAAATACTCGGTATCGGCACCGATACTAGTATTGGTGCATCCCTAATAATTGATAATGAGAATAGTTGGCAACAATTCTCATTATCGATTAGTTGGGAGGGGGGGGGAGGGGTGGGGGAGAGAGAGATACATTTTTTTAATACAACCAATGGCAGCAATGTACAGCATTGTAATGTGTGTCTACAATACCTTTTATGAATCCCAAGCAATGGTTCCTCAGAGACAATATTTTACTATGTAGCTTAGATGCTGATACACACTCTCTTGTCTGCTCTAAGTATATCATTTATAAAGTCACAAGATGATTGGTAACACTTGGGCATATGAAGTGTGGGTCTTGCAGCTGTGCATTTACACTTGCTATAGACCTATTGGCATGCATGAAATTCCAACAAAGGGATACAAAGGGCGCAAAGCCAATGGACAACTAACTAACTTAGCAGACTGTGGTAGAAAAATAAATGGATAAGCACTTACATTTAGATCGTGGGACCAGAGGATGGACGGCCAGTGTAGAGGATCGGGACATCCGTGGTGTGTGCCCGAATCTGGTGTGCGTTTCGAGGTGTCCCCTCTTATTCAAGCTCAGGTAGAACGAAGCTTGGAAAAGAGGGGACACCTCGAAACGCGTTGCTCTCCGCCCTTCCATCCCGTTACAACCCTCATCCCATCACAGACCTGACTGACAGCCGATACTTCCAGACACCGGCTCCCGCACACTGCCCCAGTCTGCGCTGACAGTGACCGAGCATCAGTATCTACAGCCTGCATCTGACACCGCCGATTCTCCCTCACACCGCTCAGCTCCCGGACTCACACAGCGGTGCCACGGACTGAGCTCCCATTCCCCCCTCCTCGGTCACAGCCTTCTCTCCCTGTGTGAATGCACGTCCCCAGACACACCAGATTCGGGCACACACCACGGATGTCCCGATCCTCTACACTGGCCGTCCATCCTCTGGTCCCACGATCTAAATGTAAGTGCTTATCCATTTATTTTTCTACCACGGTCTGCTAAGTTAGTTAGTTGTCCATTGGCTTTGCGCCCTTTGTATCCCTTTGTCGCTTTACACCCACAGGTTCTCCTCCTGTTCCCCAGGGCTGCATGCTTTTCAGTTAGCCCCCCGTTCTTAGGGCCCCCATCCGAGAGCGCTGTTTATGTCTTTTTGTTTTTATGAAATTCCAACACCAGATGTCAGATTCCATAATTACTTTCTATATCCCTACACAGAAATGTGAAGTTCCATCATCAGGTGTGAAATTCCAACAGTATTTACATGAGTAATGTAACAAAATATATAAAAACATTAACCATAAAATCTGTGACACATTTAATGTTGTGGCAGTATAAAGGAATGGAGAAAAATGAAAACATGTTTCCGCCCGGTTTCGAACCGGGGACCTTTCGCGTGTGAGGCGAACGTGATAACCACTACACTACGGAAACTACTGAAAGGACCTGGCTGGAACTGTCCTGTCGGCTCTGATTTCCAGTGTCCTCATGTGCTGGTGTATTGTATTTCAGAAATGTCTTCATATAACACGTTTGCTTTAGTTCAGCATGTTTATTATATCAGGTTTTATATTTGAAATGTGTAGTTCGTACTATCTGTAATCATTTACTTTACATATCAGCTTCTCCGACCATGAGAACAAAAGAGCACGTCGATGGTATAACACTAACCGATGAGCTTGACTTGAAATACAGAACGAAAATATAGAACTGAAGCATACATGAAAAGAGCACCAGTAACACACAGCTGATATGATTTAATAGTCGCCAATCGAGCCGAGTGGGAAACATACACCGCCGTTCATCACATAGTCAGTTATAGGAAGCAGCCCGCACACTTACATGGGAAGACCTCGTGGCGCAACGGTAGCGCGTCTGACTCCAGATCAGAAGGTTGCGTGTTCAAATCACGTCGGGGTCAAACACTTTTATATTTTCCCAAGCAAAAAAAACTGTATGATTTAGGATTGCTTATTTTTGATGCTTTAACCCAATCCATAGTCAAGATTATTTGATGGCTTTACAAGCTCAGAAAATGTTGCCATGTTGAGATGCATAGCACTTGCAATCGCTTTTAGAGTTTTGTTTTCTGATGGTTCACAAAGGTAAGCTCAGAGCCCTTGCACATGTTTACAAGAAGACATGCTCAGAAGACAGATCAAGCAATGTCCCCATTTAAATACCACTTGCTCTCATTTCTGCTTTATCTCTTGCAGTGAGTGCAGATAGGTACCTATCAAAGTACTTGTTGATATGTTATACTTAGCAAAGTGGTTGCCTTAAAACTGCATCCAGAGAGATGCATCTGTAAAAAGCTGGACACACATTTTACAATCTATGAATTCATTGGATTCTTCCTACAGGTACATTATGAAATATGTTAGAAAGGGCTGTTTTATGGTAGGGGAGTCAACTGCCTCTCTTGCTATTTCTCCAAAGGAAGATGCTTAGGTTAGCCATCAAGGATCAAACTGTTTATTCTGATCAGATCAGGAATGGCAGCCAAAGATGTAAAAATAGTTGTGTGTGGTGGGGTGCCAGCTATCTATTCACTCACATCTGTATGAGTGAAGCAATTATTTACATGTTGTGTTTAGGAGACTTCCCATGAAACAATGCGAGAAATTGCTTCCCGAGATTGCCTTCTTTGCAGAATTAGACAAATAAAATATACTGGGAATTTGAGTAGAGCGCTGCACGTGACTGCAATATATGTGCACTGCTTGTGCCCACAAAGTGGAACTAAATGGACAAGAGCCTCAGTGGGGGCATGCGGAGAGCAGATTTAGGAGAGAAAAAAATGGTATTATAAAGTAGTTTGCTGATTCTCATAAACAGATGTGTTTTAGTACTGTATGCTGGATTAATGTTTTATTTTAGCATTTAGTGACACTTTAAAGGTGAACTACAGGTATACATATTTATGTATACTGTACTTACATTGGTCCACCTTGGCCCAATGTAAGTATATATTAGGGATGCACTAATACCATTGTTTTTTTTGGTATCGAGTACCGATATTTTTTCACGGTACTCGCCGATAACAAATACTGATACCGGAAGTCCCATTAGGGAAGCCGGGTGGCGTGCACTGACTTGCCGCCTGGCTTCCTGATTAGCCGGGAAGCCGGCTTCATGTTCCCTCGTCACCAGGTGTCGAGAAAGCATGGAGTCAACTTTCTGGCCAACCAGGAAGCCGGAGGGCGGGTAATGACTCGCCATCCGGTTTCATGATGAACTTCTTAAGTGTGAAGATAAGGTGATCGAAGGTGAAGGTGTGGAACAGTCATGCAAGAAAACTTGCTCACCTTACCAACTAGACCATATCTAAAAGTACTTTAGAATGTCCCGTAATGTTAATATTCCCTTTCTCCAGGGATTGGGTGGATCACAGTGATTTTCATTAATCCAATGGAGACTCCCTCAGCTTAGCGTGAATCAAGCAATGCTCAAAGATAGGAGACGGAAACGGAACATAGCGTAAAACCGTACATTTTATTAAAATTGCAAAAAAATTAAAACTACTCAATTAGAGTAACTACAAAGAACAACGTGTATTTAACCCGCTGAATAAAATAGTCATCCAAATCAAGTAAAGCAGCGGAGAAGGATCAAGCTCTTTCTCAATGAGCACTCCAGCGTGCGGTAATAAGCAAAAAACCAGAACCTCCCTTTGCGGCTATGATGCTTCTAGACTCCACCCTACGTGTTAAATCAGTGCGACATTCTCAGGTACATCTGTAACACTTTGTAACACTTTGTAACATTTTGTAACACTTTGCATTATCGTTGCACTATTTGTTTCTTTGTATTTGGGTATAGGGTATGTTATAGCACAGTATAGTGCTGGCAGCCTATTTTTCAGTTTATCATTTCCATTAGTGACAGTCATTTTGTTGTCACCCCCTATGAAAGATCGGGCACTCGGTCACGGACCGAGATCCCGACAGTGTCAGGAGAGAGGAGGGGACCTGGCAGCATTCCTCATCCCCCCCAGGTGATCGTCCCCTCCTCTCTCTGCCAGCGTCCACCACCAAGATGCCCGCCAGGAGGCGTCAATAAGACAACTGCGTATGCGCGATGACGTCATCGCGCACGTGGCAACGTCACGCACATGCGCGATGACGTCACAGCGGGGTGTCACCCGGTCTCCACTCCGAGTGAAACCCAGCCTCGGACGCCTCTGGTACTGCACATGATCAGCTATTACAGTAGGCATCTGAGGGCTTGAAAGTTTGGTTGAGAGCTGACAAGAGACATTGGCACCTGACATTGGCAACTGTTCTCACCAGAGGCGTGGCTTGAATAAAGTATACAGTGCGCATGTGCAAATAGGCATATTGTAAATAAAAACACTGCAGAAAACAACATTGGCATGTTTAAGGAAGGATTTAATAATGTTTATTGAAAATTTCTAATGAGCTTCCTGCTGGGAAACAGCGAAATCGGAGAGTTTTTACTTCAGTTTTAAAAACTCTCTGCTACGGAAAGATTTAACTGTGACTTATTGGCATTGCAGTGATATAAGTATGCTACAAATGAGATTACTGCCAACAAATAAAAACATATTTTAATAGCAAAGGGATTTAATCACCCTTGTAGTTCAAACCTTAGGGCCTAATGGATGGGCCATTCTGATACTGGCAACACATCACCAACTACAGAATCAATTAGGTAAGGAAACCCTTGTATCCCAATGGGTTTTGCTCCCTTGCTGGCCCATAGAACTGCATATGCATGCTAGCAAAGTAGCAGAGACGGAGAGACGTCTTGCTGGTCCGGCCAGCGAGACTAGGTTGTCAACAGTGACAAGATTGCTCATCTGACATGGCCCTTATACTGCCATAGTTCCATGTTGAATAGCTTCAAATTTAGTAGGCATTAGGATGTAGTATCTAACCTGACTGTGAGACGTATTTAACTTCCTTTAGACATAACTTTGATGAAATCTGCATTATAATGCAAATAATGTGCAGATACCTATTAAGTGGAATGTTGCATCTTTTTTATTTACTAATGAATTCTATTTTTTTAAATGGTTGAAAAAAACTATTTTTAATACAAATCCATTAGTGTACCAACAAAGGGTATACTATATTCCTGGATATATATGGTCATCGTTTCTCATAAGATCTGAAGAAGTTTTTCATAACTAAGAAAAGTCACTGCATTGACAGGAAAGGCTCTCAAGCTGTTAACGGTGAGACCTTTCAACAGCACACGGAGCCCTTCCTGTTTAATACTTTTCTGAATGCAGTCATACATTCCCCGATACTGCACTTTATACATGCCATCCATCTGCAAGCGAGACTTTATAACATCCATTGGGTTTGCTGCAGCCCACCCCACAGTTCCTGCACAACCGCCAGCAAATAGCATTGTCCACGAACCTGAAAAGGTAAATAAAAAGAAAATAAGAGTTAGTATCTGTGTACAAATTCCTCTTTTGCTTCAGAATGAAAGACAAAGCTTACTGTCATCTGTGCAGCAACAATCCTGGCTCCCATTACAAGTGCCATGTAATAGATAATGGATAGGAAAAGTATGTTGCTTTTACATCCACAACTTTAGTGATATCTACCTGACAGATATCATGTTTCCCCGAAAATAAGACCTACCCCGAAAATAAGACCTAGTACTATTTTTGGGAATTGTTAAAACATAAGACCTACCCCGAAAATAAGACCTAGTTTTGACCTTTCCCAGGGCCGGTGGTGGCATAAGGGGGAACTTGAAGAGCCGCGGGAGAGAATCAGCGGTGCCAACGAAGGCAGCGCTAGAGGAAGTGAGGCGGCAACGGAGGGAGCAGAGCCGCATAAGCCGATGCTTCCTCTACAGCACCGCCTCCTGTCACAGGTGGAGTGACACCTGTCACTCCACCTGTGACCGCCTGCGAGGAATCGAAAGTGATAACGAGTTTCGCTCATTCTGGACAGCGACTGGTTACCAAATTGGTCTTGGAAAGGTACGGCACCCCTGATTGCCCTGATCACCATAAACTCAGGAGTTAAATCTTAAAAATACATTCAGGTACCCTAACTACTTACAAGATTATATCTTATTTGGGTATCACTCCGCTGTAGATCCTCAAATCATCTCTGAATTCATGCCTGTCCTTCCTTCTGGAGGGTGGCTACTTTTGTTATACATGGTCCCTTTGTGTCTTGTAAAGTAGCCACCGCGCCAAGCTCACTCCCATGATGGACTACAATCTCACGTTTAGTTCACTAATTTGTTTTGAGATTGTAGTCCATCATGGGAGTGAGATTGGAGCGGTGACTTCTTTACAACACACACATGGAAAACAAAAGAAGCCACCGTCCAGAAGGAACGACAGTGTCAGCACCAATTCACAGATGATTTGAGGTTCTACAGTCGAGTGATCCACAAATAAGATACATTTTTGTAAAAAGTTAGGGTACCTGAATGTATTTTTAAGATTTAACTCTTGAGTTTAGTGTCACTTTAATTGACAGAACTGAACTGATTTTAAATTGTGTTGCTTTAGGGTGTAAACCCTATTGCCACCTCTAAAGTCAGCCCAAATGTCCTCTATACATTGTTATTATGTTGTTATTATAAAAGGGGGTTATCCAAAGATATCCCTTGTATAGGAATCATGTGTAGAACTATGTTTTATTTGGCAATGGCTTAGTTATGTCCAGCCTGTTGACATTATTATATGAGACCTATAAAACACATTGGTGAATTGACCTATGTTGGTGGTGGCGAATCAATGGCACGCGGGACCCTTTCTGCTGGCACGCGAGCACACATTTGGATGAGCACAGGGGCCACCCCTGAAAATAGATCCGACCATCCCAGATTGCCTCGGTATGCGATCTGGGCCGGTCACAATCAGTCAGTGGCGGCCTCTAAACAGGCATATTAGACGGCTGCTTGCTCCTCACTAGGACCCCGAGAGGCCACAGCAAGTGGCCGTCTAATATGCCTGATTGTGACTAGCCCGGATCGCATACCGAGGCGATCCGGGGTGGTTGGATCTATTTAAATTAGAGTGCCGCAGCAGCCCTCCAGGAGAGCCACACAGCCTCCCCTGAGAGCCGCACAGACCCCGTAAGAGCCTCACTGCCCTCCCTGGGATCCACACATCCCTCCTTGAGAGCCGCGCAGCCCCCCCAAAAGCCGCACAGCCCCTCTGAGCCCATACAGACCACTTGAGAGCCCCCTTGAGAGCCACACAGCACCCCTGAGAGTCCGCACAGCCCCCCCCTGAGCCCATACAGACCACCTGAGAG